CTCTCTCTTGCTGATGTCGATATCCCAAGCAGAAAGGGTTCAATTCTTTCTGCGGTGATTGTACTGCAACAGCAACCAGGACCTCTGTTCTCTGTTTTCACGCTGGAGGAAAAAATACGCATCCCCTCTCAGAGTACAAACGATAGGCTTTCACCAGTAGTATTTTGGAATAACCGCTACGATTGCCCTGGTTAACCGATTTCGCTGTAAAGTTGTGTGGCAACAATGTGTGGCAAGAATTGCACTTCTCTTTTGGTTTGCTTCCAGCTATTGTGAGTGCGAGTGGGGAATGAGTCTGTTTCCGTTTCAGAATGCAACCCGATGCAAACTTCCACTTACTCCTATACTCTATCTCTTTCCAACTCCGGCACATCGTTTGGCAGGGCCGGGCCGGAGGAGAGAGAGAGAGAGAGAGAGAAAAGAGAGAGACTTGTGGAGGAGGGAGGTTATAAAGGGGAGAGAGAGGGGCTTTCTCAATTCCGCCCTTGGTTGACCAAACATCAAACAATCGCACAACGGCATCCGCAGGACTGCCGAGGGGAAAAGGGGGGGGGCAGTCGAGAGTGGGCATCCGCGCTGCCCCTTTGCGGTGCAGTCCGCTGCTGCCCAGCTGCGCCCCCCCTCCCCTCCCTCCCTCCCTCCCTCCCTCCGTGCCTCGTGCCCCGCCAAATTCCTCACAAAGCCTCTCCTCGCCTCTCCTTGCATCGCCCTCCTCCGCTTCCCCTCTCCCCGCCCTCTCTCTTCTCCCTTTCCTTCCCTCGCCTCGGCACCCGCACGCGAGCGCACGCCACCAGCGTTGCGTTAACAGCCCTGTAGGACACCCTCGGGGTCGCGCGCCTTGGGGTGCTGCTCGTGCCGTACCGCCCTCGTGCCCAGTGTAGAACAACAGCTTGATGAACACGCCCACCACTCCCCCTGGAGGAGGCGCAACCTCATGGAAAGCGTCTGGACTCGCCTCCCTCCCCGCCGCAGGGTGTCCTGCTGGCGCTGACACCGTACCCCGTGCGCGGACTTGTACAGCTTCGGCGTCCTACCGGGTGACAACGGCATCCTCGGGCTCGGCGACCACAGCTGTGGCCAGGAGCTGTACGTCTTCGCCCCCACTTCTCTCGACCCCTCGTTCTTCTAAGTTGCACTGGGTTTTGTGCAGACTAGTGAACGACGTGATGAAATAAACGCACCCTGTTAAATAGAAAGCAGTGACCACCATAGTAATGGTTACTTCAGGAACTATACCACGTAATACATGATAGAGTCGGTATTCGCGTGCCAATGAAAATTGCGGCTGTCTCGATTGTCACATCTAATTACGAAGGTTTCATTACTGCCATTCTTTTTTGCCTGGTTTAAGCCAGCCAATGTTCCATTCCTACCGGCGCTGTGTGTCAAATTTTGCCGCCTAGCCGTAGCAACGTCCAGCGCAGTTCCCCCTCTCCCTCTCTTCTCTCTCTCTCTGCTTATCTCTAAATCTCTCGCTCTCTCTCTGTCTTCTCAACTTGCGTGGGAGTGAGAGGGTCCTAGCTCATCTCTTGCATTATTCATTGGCAGCTGCGCAATGTGTTAATGCCCGATTTTAGTACAATTACGTAGAGTCACACCGCGGAGGACATCTAACTCCTGCTCTCCCCCCCCCCTCTCTCCCTCTCTCTCTGTCTCTCTCTCTCTGTCTCTTTCTCACTCCGTCCCAGCGCACCGTGTTGTATAAAATCATTGGGCTGCTTGCCAGGACTCCACCGCGCAGAACCACCTCATTTGAGATTCCAGCCGAGCGGCTCACTTCGCGACTTGTTTCCAACGTTTTTTTCCCTCTTTCATCTCTCTCATTCGCCTTTCCCGTCGCATCTTCTTCCTGCTTTATGACGGTTTGGATTTGCCGGTGATTGGGTCCTTTGTGCCACTTTACCGGCCCATAAGAGCAGAAATGCGAACCGCAATCAAAACATATGACATACGACAGAGAAGACATACACGAAAAAATCGTGGAATATTGTTCGCTTTCTTGGAAGTCAATGTCTTTTTCGGTATGAGTCATGGGAACACTTGCAGCCGGCGGATCTCCTCTGCGATCCTCGCCGAGGATGTGATCACCTGGGGCAACTTATGTGTCATACATTTGTGTACTGCTGTTATAAGTGTAACCACGGGAAGACAAATGTGGCACGGAATTCATTTTAAAGGGTGTTACATTTTACTACCTTTCGATAGGCACAAAACTGTCTAAAATCTGAAAGGTATTATTAAATATTTGCACCTTTGGGTAGCTTTAATATCTTCCTAGAGGTGCTAATTTTGATGCCTCTGCACTAAAGTTTTTAGTACTACATTTGTCTAACAATATGACATAAGTTGTATTATAGTTCATAAAGAATAACAGTCATCACTGCTTTTTTGGAGTGCAGTTGCAGTTTCATCAACTTAGTCAAAAGTCGATCGCACAGTAGTTCTCTTGTAAGTAATTGTTTGCCGTTTTGTGTTTTGCAGGGGTGGAGCTGCAGGTGTGCCCCGCGGGCCGCAGCTGCTGCACACCTGCCATGGAGGCCACCCTGCAGCGGCATGTGCACCGGGACTTCAGCGCGCTCGTGCACCACAACTCGCAGTCCACCCAGGGCCTGCTCGTCTCCTCGGCCGACGGCCTGCGTGGTAAGTCAGTGTCCCTCAAGTTAAGCACGACTGGGGTGGGGTTATTCTGCACTTTTTGGTCTAGATAACACTGCAAACCCACTGACCGCGTTCTCTTTTCCGCTGCTTGTGGAAAGTCGGCTAGAAATATAAGGGGATAAATTCACACAACACGCCTCGTGCTACGTGAATACTTCTTCTTCCCCCCTTTCTCCTTTGCCTTCTTCTCCCTCTCTCCGGTCTTCCTGAATATGATCGCAACTTTTATCGACGAAGTTGGAGTGCCTGCTCGCCTCTCCTTCGTGAAGGGGAGGTCGTGGTTGACGTGCTTTACCGCGACGAGTGCCAAGACCCCGCCAGCAGGGCGCCCCTCCCCCCCC